TTTCTCATGATGTACTCTGCATATAAGTTAAATAAGCAGGGTGACAATATACAGCCTTGATGTACTCCTTTTCCTATTTGGAACCAGTCTGTTGCTCCATGTCCAATTCTAAACTGTTGCTTGTTGGGGCACTAAGATCCCTTATGCTGCTTGGGGCAAAAAAAAAAAAAATAGCCCAGTTTAGACTCACTTTCCTGTGTGACCATAGAACTTCCATTAGGAAGAAACTCTCTCACTTCTATCTACATGAAATAATTTGCTATTACTGTACACTCAATTTTTCTCTGGTTTCCCATCTTCAGAGCAGTGGTTTGGATAAGAATAAATAAAACCAGGCCTTAAGCTTGTGAAGATCTGTAATTTACTAGAACCAGATGCAAGCCCTGAAGGATCTGCATAATGTATGGATTTTTACCATTTCTCTGCATCTGCGATCTAATTCATTATGTCAGTTTCCTCTAGTTACTCAGGCTCTGTCGATATCTAAAAAAGCATTTTGACTGAATATCAATATGTTTCAACCCAATGTAGAAATCAGCACAATCAAGAATTTTGCAAGTTCTTGAATTCACCAGATCTCTTACAAAACTATTATAACTGAACATCAATATCAACACAGGATTTTTGCCAAAGTTTATAAAAACACAAGGTAAATCTTAGTACACTGACATCATTGCTATATCCTGTGTTGGGTGGAAACCAACCCTCATCCCCCCCAATCAAATTACGACATTTTGCCTTCTTTAGCCCATCAAGCTATTCTGTCCATGGAATTCTCCAGGCAAGAATACTGGAGTGGGTTGCCATGCCCTCCTCCAGGGGATCTTCCCAACCCAGGGATCGAACCCAAATCTTTTACATCTCCTTCTTTGGTGGGCAGATTCTTTACCTGATAAGCCACTGGGGAAGCCCCTAAAGTAACACTAAGTAATCCTAAATGAGTTTTTCTGAATTTGTGCCAAATTTATCTAATAAGCAAATAGATACAAATTATTCCTACCATTATTTATGTAAAAAATTTGTTTTTACATTTTCTCTCCCCTTGTGTCATTACTAGTACATTAGAAATAGTAATTAGAAAGTGAATGTCTATTATTATTTAAATAATATTATTTTCTCAAATTTTTCTTATCTATTATAAGCCAGAACCAATAAATTTATTTTTTATATTATCCCCCAATGCTTAGATATTGTTATAATCTAATATCTATGATAGAATTTTATAAAAGTTAAAAATAATTTTCTTAAAATTATGCATGCAGTAAGACTGTTTTTCCCTCTGCTCTATCCCATGCATTAAATAATGCTTGCACATGGTAAGATGACCATAAATATTTGTTTAATGAATAAATGAATGTTAATGAATACAGATTTGGCTGTGTCTAGTCCCTTTACCTATCTTAGCCCGTGTTCGACTTCATCCTCTCGTGTCCAGTAAACATTTTAACAATCAAGTGGTAAAATGGGAGCATAATTCTAAATAAACAAACACAAATGTACAAAGGTATGAGTTACTGATGCCAAAATATTCTAATTTACAGCATCACAATCAAATGCATTCTGTGTATGCCCATTCACTATATTTTTCAAGGAAATTGCAAACTAGAATTTGAAACCATCAACGAACCACGCCCAGCAGTCCACACTCCATCATAGATCAACACCCTGGTCTATGATCTATAACTGAACCATGTCTCCATAGTTCAGGAGCCCTACCTGTTAGCCAATAGTAGCCAGTACTGCTAACGTCAAGGTTTTTACAGAGCAGTTATTTATGGCTTTCACAGAGGAGATGGTGTATAATTCAGCAGTCTAAGCCTTTTCTTGGCATCAGAAATTTTTGTTGCTCCTATGATCAAAGTTATTAGAGAAAGAACTTGACAGTAATGAAAAAAGTTACAAGTTTTCCACCTGTGTACATTAGTCAGACCAATCAAGAAAACAACATACAGGAACACAAGCAAAGAATGGTTTTCTAGTTTGACAGTGCTTTTTGACAGAGTTGGAGTTACAACTTTAGCTCAGTCGGTAAAGAATCTGCCTACAGTGCAGGAGACCCGGGTTTGATTCCTGGGTTGGGAAGATCCCCTGGAGAAGAAAAAGGGCAACCCACTCTAGTATCCTTGTCTGAAAAATCGCATGGACAGATGGAGCCTGGTGGGCCCCAGTCCACTGAGTTGCAAAGAGTCGGGCATGACTGAGCAACTAACACTTACTTACACTATTGAAACTGACCTGCCCTACTTGAAGGATTCTGTTATAGACAATGTTGATTTCCTCTCCCTGGATGGATGGCTGGGAAACTGGACACTTTATCATCTTCAGGTCTCTTCATGGGCATATTGCACCCCCAGAGGACCCACTCACTGACAGGTCTCCTGAGGGGCCCACAAGTCTGTCGACAAGAGAGAGAACACATCAATAAGCTGCAAAGGAAAAACAAGCTTGCCACCTCTTTTATATTTTGAAATGACAATTTTATGTTATAAGAAAATATTAGGCAGAGTTTTGTTCTTTACCAGCTATAAATAGGGTCATCCAGATTCTGACTATGACAAGATGATTGTACATGGATTGGGATGGTAATTTTCTCTAATGTTCTGATTTTTGTCATATAGAAAATATATTTCCTCTAATTCATCCTAAAATAATACTTTTAAGGAGAGAGAAGTACAGACACTGCTTTTTTTAGTAATAGTCACTATTATTACAGTTGCAGGAACACAGAAACCTACCATATTTTCATGAGAATTTCTCATTTTAGAAGTAATGCTGGTTTTTCTGTCACTCAAGGCATAAATTCTACAAATTGAGAATATACTGGTTATTTCCATTGTGAGGGTTCTATTAAAATGTCACAAGTGAAAATATTGTTTTTATAGAATGCAGAAATATGAAACAAATCTACAATAAATCTGTATCAAATAAAGGTACAGATATTTTCAAAATGGATAAAAGAGGATTGAAAGTATTTTATTTCCCTTTCATATCTTTATTTAAATTTCTATTTTGAAATTTAAAAAATGGAATACATTGGCTATTTTGTAGAGCAAAAAACCAGTCAACTTTTTTTACCTTTTAAAGTCTAAATGCTTTTTCATTTCATGGAAACAGCTACAAATATCTCTTGCTTTTTAGGGAAACTGGTTGTAGAAAATGATCTTAAACAAACACGAGGAAATATTTGTTAGGACTCAAACTTAGTACACGTGTTCACACAAGTATACCTTTCTGGTTTGTGATATTATGCCCAATGAACCTAAGAAAGCTCTATTCTCCTCCCAGTTACCTTTTTTTCCCAGTAGAGTTCTTAATCAAGCTATGTAGAAAAAACAGTAGGACCATAAACACCAAGTGACCGCTGTATTTACTTCTGTGACAGTGCCTGAGAACCCAATGGAGAGTCTAATAAGATGAGATTGGAAAATACATCATGTCCGAGGGGAAGTTGCTGCCTCCCTCTCACCTCAAGTTGGGATGGGTACATCCTGGCCTGACAATATTCAAAAGCAAAGTAGACTCAGTTTTGCAATCCTGACATGTGGATGCAAGAAAAACAGCCTAGTCATGTGTCTACCCATACGGATTTTAAAGGCAGTTTTGAAAACTTTTTGTGCGACCTTGAGCAAGTAAGTCATTTATACCTGATTCAAATTACTGGAGGCATTTATGTAAAAAGGAACTACAAATATACACCCATACATACACACTTTTGCATATACATAATGTATTATGTAAGATTGTTTTAAAATGTAGGTTTCACTACTATTCAGATGTGATGAGGCCAGCAGATTAGGAGACAACTGCTATTGAAAAGATAGCTTGTTACAGTTCCCAAGGTGAGGGCCTGCCAAGGAGGGGTGAGAGTAGCACAGATGAAGAAATAACAGGCACAGTCAGGAGGCAGAGTGGAGCAGGAAGAAAAGATGATAAGCCTCTTTATTAAGTTTTACATGGGAAGAAATATGTGACTAAGTGAAAACAGGCTTAGAACCTCATCTAGTTTGAATGAATTCAGTGGGCTCTCAGGTATTGGGGCTGTACTTTGTCTGGTACTGACCCTCTGATACCAGACAGGGCATGCAATGTATAAGCCTCCCGAGAAACCAATAAAGTAATGGGGGACAGGGGCTGTGCATTCGTTGGTTTGCATATGGAAGTTGCACTCACAGGATAGTAGTTTGCTATCTCTAGAAATTAGCTAACACTGGGAGATGAAAACTCCCAGGCCCTAGATGTAAAAGAATTAAAAAATACAAAAAAATTAAAAACATGATTAATACAAAGACATTTTGTACTTTTTGTATCACTGTATCATAGCCACAGTTCACTACACTGCTGCTGCTGCTGCCGCTTCAGTCGTGTCCGACTCTGGCGGCCCCACAGACGGCAGCCCACCAGGCTCCGCCGTCGCTGGGATTCTCCAGGCAAGAACACTGGTATGCATTGCCATTTCCTTCTCCAGTGCATGAAAGTGAAGTTAGACACAATTTAGGCTCTATTTTTAAGGTAATATAATGAGTAATTTCACTCCAATATTACCTAATTTATAGCTTTTTCTATCCACAAAGGGGAAAAACAAAAATCAGCCAATTATCTTGGCATTTGACCTGATTAATTTGGCAAGACCTACCAGTGTTTGGTTTGATTATATTTTAAAAGTATAATTCTACAAAGTTAAGCTGAATATTTCAAATACACTACAGTTGTGCAGTAACACAACAAAATGAATCCCTCTGAAGATAACTGTTGAAAGTTTCCAAGTGACCATTTTTTTACTGAATTTCTGAATGATTTGGGAAATTGTGATGGGCAAATTTTATGGGTCAGGGTGAATGGGCCACAGGATACCCAAATATTTGGTCAAATATTATCCTGGGTATATCTGTGAAGGTGTTTTTTGATGAGTTTAACATTTAAATAGATAGACTAAGTAAAGCAGATTGCTCTCCCTAATGTAGGTGGACCTCACCCAATCAGTGAAAGGCCTGCATAGAACAAATAGCCTGACCATCCCTCAAGTAAGAGAAAATTCTTCCTTCAGATGACTTATGAACTGAAACATTGGTTTCTTTGCTCTCCATCTTGCCTTACTTACCTTGAGACTTTCTAGCCTCCATAGTCAAATGACTCAATTTCATATAATAAATTTATTTTTATATTAAATATATGTAAATATATTTTATTAACTATAAATACATAATAATATATATAAACATATTATATATATGTATACATATATGCACACACACACACACACACACACATATATATATATAACACCTTTTGGTTCTGTTTCATAAAAGAACCCTGACTAATGCAGTGTTAATGATTTATCCCTAATAAAACTGATAATATCATAGTGGGCAGACACTCTGGCTTTTGACTTTGTGGACCCAAATTCTATTAAGATGCCTCTCAAGTTTGTGATTTGATGGCAATTAAACTCTTGCCTGGAGACTCTCATGAACAGAGGAGCTTGGTGGGCTACAGTCCATGGAGTGACAAAGAGTCAGACACAACTGAGCGACTAAGCGCACACACACACACACACACACACACAAAACTAAAAAAACAAAAAGAAAAGAGGCGCCCCTTTAAAACTCTGAAAAATACCCCAAAAAAAAATATCAAAAAAAAAAAACAAAAATAAAAAAAAAAAAAAAATTATCATAATCCCACATTTTGGAACAAGAACATGCTAACTCACACCTACAAATTTCATCAAGGAAACACTAGTCAGTGATCTTGATGACAATTCTAAGATTACTTATATATTATAGACACAAGTACAATACTTAAGACGTTTGATGGATAAAAATATCTGTTAAGCATAACAATAGATGGACTTCCCAGGTGGTGCTAGTGGTAAAGAATCTACCTGCCAATGCAGGAGACACAACACACACAGTTCAATCCCAGGGTCAGGAAGATCCTCTGGAGTAGGACATGGCAAACGATTCCAGTATCCTTGCCTAGAAAACTCCATGGACAGAGGAACCTGATGGGCCACAATCCATGAGGCCACAGAGTCAGACATGACTGAATACAAACACACGTAACAATAGATATGCTAAATAATTGTATTTCACGTTCTCGGTAAGTCTTACTAAGTTTTTGTTGTTGTTGTTACTTTTCCTATATAATTGTTTTAAGTTGATATGTTGCATTTTCATTTTTATTGAAAAAATTTTTCAAAAATTTTTCTTTCTTTTCTTTTGTTTTTTGGTCTTGCAGCAGCAGGATCTTAGTTTCCGAACCAGGGATCAAACCTGTGCCCACTGCGGTAGAAGTACAGAGTCTTAACTACTGAACCTCTAGGGTAGTCCCAGTAAGTTTTGCTTATAAATCAGTCCTCACTTTCATAAGAACCTCTCATGATTGAATAAGTGAAAGAAAATAATCATCACGGAAATTGAAAGCCCCAATTGGAAGCACAAAGAACAAACACCATTAGAATAGGCACAGTAGAATTGAGAAGCAAGAGGCTGAATTTACAAATGAAATTTTGTAGTGTTAGAATAAAAATATAGCTCTGAAAGAAAGAAATGGAGGGTTCACATACACAAAACTGAAAGTGCAAAAAAAACAGGTAAAACAAAAGAGAAAATATGCAAAGATGTACTAATCTACTCAGGTTTTTTATTGACATTCTAATTAAAGACTTTGTACTTTTTGGTTACATGTCCCATCTAAACGTTAAGCTCCTCCATTGCAAACCTCAGCCTTGTATCCACCACAAGATCTGGCCAAGTCATTTGCATGAGAGTCAATGTATTGAATTAATACAGTGTAGTCTGAAACTCAACCAATAATGTTTAGATTTTCTTTATTAAAACTCAGAAGTTGATATTAAGCACATCCAATAATTTTTGAAATTAATATGTTAACAGGGAAGCTGCCAGGAAACATAACATGAATTTTATAATTTGAAATCTACTGAGATACAGAAGCATAATTTTATTTTATTGCAAGACATTTTCAATTACACAGCATACTCACTTCCCAGTTTAATAATGGAAAGCAGGCTAATGTCCCATCTGTCATGTAGCATTCTGCCTCAATGTGTGATCTTGGTGATTTCTGAAAGAATTAGTTTCTGGATTGGAAGCAACTTCTTGTTTTGACATGTAAGATGCTCCTTGTGAATATTCATCTGTGTATCCTTCACAAATTAGAACCCTAACTATAGATTCCTCTTGTACTTAAACTATTAAATGAAATCTGAGGTGACTTGAAAAAGAATCATATTTCTTTTACTGTTAGAGTTGCTAGATGTAGCAAATAAAAATATAGGCTAGTCAGTTAAATTTTAATATCAACAACAATAAATATTTTTCAGGGTAAGTATGCCCTGTGCAATATCTAGGGTACTTTTATACTAATTTTTTTTCT